TCTCTAAATCTAACTCTTCCCCTATGCTAATATATAACAGCTCAACAGAGAATATTAAATGAATTAGCATACACAAAACTATCAGAAATATCTGATATTATTTTCTGAGATTTGCTTTATGAGAACTGGTTGTTAGCAAGTAAGTTTACAGGTAAAATTCTAGGAATGTTGAAGCTGATGGGAATTAATATTCAGAGTTTTTGAAATGACACTGAGCAGGTATGCTTTGGGGGCCAAAAGCAGCAAACGGTTGATCTAGCTGGGTGTGGTGGCTCATACCTGTAATCCAAGCACTTGAGAATCAGAGTCAGAAGGATTGTACTGAGTTCAAGACAAACCTGGACTATGCTGAGTTCCAGGCCAGGCAAGATTAGTGTGAGTTCCAAGACACCTTGGGCTGTAGAGTGAGAGATTCTATCTCAAAAACAAATCTTGGAAATAAATTTGAGGTTATAAAAAGAGAAATCATAAAACAGAATATTTCCAATTACCATGTCAATTAAATTCATTCAAAATTTTCATTTAAGGCTATTTTGTTTGTTTGACATACTGCATTTAAACTGGAAAATTCAGCTGTCTAGTGTATTTTATTTTCCTCCTAAACTTTTTAGTATTCAAAAGCATAGTTAAATGATAAAGGGAAATCTAATAATAGTGTGACCAAACCATCACAATTTCCCTGAGACTGTTCAAGGTTGATCATCAGAGTCCTGTGTCCCATGGAAGATTAAGATAGTTGGCCATTTTGATAATTTGGAATAACATTTTTGTTACGAGTAATGTTTTCCCTGCTGCTGGTCCCACCGCCATGCCTGCCCCAAATATCACACGGAGACACTGTATTAGATATAATGCTGTTGGCCAGGTACTAATTTCCTATCGGCTAGCTCTGTCTTAATTATTAACCCGTTTCTATTAATCTAAGTATTTCCCCATGGTCTCATCTACCAGAGAGTGTCTGGTGTTCTTCTCTCCAGTCTCTACATGCAGACTCCTCCTACTTCTCTCAAGTCTCTACATGCTGACTCCTCTTACTACTTCCTATTTTTTCCTTGTCTCCTAGTCCCTCCTGTCTTCCTTTCCTATTGGCCAACAGTGCTTTATTCATTAACCAGTATGAGAAACAGATTTACAGAATGACATCTCCCATCACATTTTTCTTTGCTTCATAGAAAAAAAAAATAGTGTTCTAGACATTCAGCAGACTCCAGAATCAATGATTTCAGTTTGGAGTTTTGGCATGGTTCTTCATTGTGAGACATAGGGCAACTTACTTAAAAATTTCAAGCATCACTTCCCTTCTTTTAAAAGTCAAAGTAGGTGCTAATAATACCAGTTTTGTTGGATTGGTATAGATACTAAATGAGATTATATACAGATGCTATGCTATTTGGTATGCATTATAAATGAACAATATTTGTTAACTACTAATTCTTTATAGTTATTAATTACACTACACAAGATTTAAGGGATGGTGTTTAAAATATATTTCTTCTCCCTACTAATCTAGAGGTACCACTTATATATCAAAGGCTGCATACTCATTCTCACTGATTCCTGAAGTACAAACACTCAGTCAGAACTTCTACTATAGTCAGGTGGTGGTGGTGCACACCTTTAATCCCAGCACTTGGGAGGCAGAGGCAGGTGGATCTCTGTGAGTTTGAGGCCAGCCTGGCCTACACAGCGAGTACCAGGACAGACTCCAAAGCCACAGAGGATACTGATACTGCCTCAAAAAAACCAAAAATCAAAACCAAAACAAAACAAAAAAAGAACTTCTACTATAATATTAGTTACTAAATGTGAATAAAACTGAAGAAAAATCCACATTTAAACACTAATAAGGGTTTTCTAGCACATGATTAGTTGTAGGGCTGTATAGATGGTTCCTTGGTGCTCTTGTAGAGGAATAGACTGTGGTTCCTAGCACCCACATCAGGTAGTGCACAACCACCTGTAACTTCAGATGTAGGGCTTCCGATACTTTCTTTTGGCTTCCATGGGTACCTTCACATTTGCGTGCGCGGGCACACACACACACACAACATGCATACACATACACACACACACACACACACACACACACACCATCAATTAATTTTTTTAACAAGTTAAAGTTTGAAATCTTTACCTCAGAGCACACCAACAATTAAGTAGTTATCCATAACATAATCACTAGAACAAAACAAAACAAAACACCTCTATTGAGTACTGCCTGCATAAGTAGAAGCCAAGGAGAAACCGAGCAAGCAAAACACAGCCCTACCCTCAGATTGCTTATACTCTTTCTTCCAAGAAAATCGAGGCCGCTGGGCATTGATGGGCACACCTTTAGTCCCAGCACTTGGGAAGCAGAGGCAGGCGGATCTCTGTGATTTCGAGGCCAGCCTGGTCTACAAAGCTAGTTCCAGGACAGGTTCCAAAACAATACAGAGAAATCCTGTCTTGAAAAACCAAACCAAAAGAAAAAAAAAAGAAAGAAAGAAAAAAGAAGACAAAAACAGAAAGAAAGAAAAAGAAAACCAAGGCCTAAACTGTGAAGTGGGACAGATCAAAACCAACGAAACAGATATAAATCAAGAATGTGCCATGGTGTCTTCACAAGAATGTTGAAGGCCTTGAACTAGCAGAATAGGCTAAATGATAATGGGTGGAGATTGGCTTCTCTGGTAGGAAATGTGGCCTTGAAAATGCTAATGGAAAACACACTCAGACATGGACCTGACATGTCTTCTTGTGGATTGCAACAGGAGTAACAATTATGGCTGGATTATACAGGTAGAAACCCAGGGAATCAAATGAATCAAGAAAGGATATGTTTATATAGCAGGCTGTCCAGCCAAGACATTGGAGAAACCCATAACCAGCAATATAGCTCTTCTAGTTTGCAAAGAACATGTCATTCTGTGCAAAGCCGCAACTCAATCTGGGATCTCCAATACCAGTCATTAAGGAAAGAGAGTAATTTATCCTGCTAAAATTATTAGGTTCTTACCAAAGGATTCTGTCAATCACTACCAAACTTCAAAAAAGCCCGGTAGACTTCTCTGACATAGCAGCATATGACACTGACGGAGTTCCTCTGGTCCCAGAAGGCATTATGGTCAGATGCATATCCCCCTAGTTTGTTCTTTCCCCTTATTCAATTCCTTTAATAATATCCATATTCAGTGGTATTTCCAGGTTTTACCAAGAACCAAGTATCAAAAACTGTTGTTAGTGAAGTAGATGACAAAGGAGGTCTTTCAAGAAACCCAAGCAATCAGGACACTACAGAGTTGTGACACAAAGTGAACTCTGCAATCTCAGCCTCACACTTCACTCACCCAGGTCAGACCCTCCCTAAGGCCTAGAAACAGAAATAACCTCACTTCACCAAAGACCTAGAGGAGCCCTTGCTTTCCCAGTTGAAGCAAATGCAAGTGCTCTCTTCAGGTTTCCTCCCCCACACCCTCACCTTTGCCACTCTCTAACTGAGCTACGCCAACAAGCAGAACACCATGACCATTACGAGTCAGTTAAGCATTGTGCTCTACAGGGTTTCAGTGTCTGTGACTGAATACACTTGTAGCATATCATCAGAAATGAAGATCCCCCCCCCCCGAAACCTATTCTCTCTATAGCTTGGCTTTATTTTAGACCACGGCATAATTTGATGCCTAATGTGAAATAAGCGAGAAAATTACTCAATGGCAATGAAAATGCCTCAGAAAAACAACTTGACATAACAACATCAAGCCTTCCTTGTCTCCATCAGGAACCACTGGGGCTGATTGTGACAAAGGAGGTAAACACATTCTTAGTGATTAATAGGAGTACCTCCTGCATTTCTTAATAGCTAGATGCCCTATTTGAGTTCCACTGCCATGCAAGTAATGCATGAGTGTTCAGCATTTCTTTGGGCATTTCATCACTTTGGGCACACCACACCGTCTGCCCAAAGATAGAAAGTTCCACAGAGAGCAGGGAGGTCAGATAACTTGCTCAGGCTCATACAAAAAGGTAGAAGCATAACCCAAGTCTCCTATAGCAGAAAATGTCGCTCTTACATAACCTGTGTCATTGAGCAAGGATATAATCTACCCCAGTGTGCACACATATATACATAATGTCTCTTCGAACACAAAAATCTATAGAAGGGTTTCCTTAAGTTCCTGCCTCTAAATTATCTGAGATTTAAGTTAATACCGGAATATCTAGTTGTTGGAGATCGCAGATGCTGTGGGCATTACCATTGTGTTTATCTCCTCCCTTCTCTCGTTCTTTCCAGAAAATCTGACACATCTCAGACAGTTCTACATGGATGTGGCTTCATCCACTCTCCTTCCATACAGAGGTCTCAAAGCACTTAAAGTGATAATCCTAAACCATTTTTTTCCTGGGTTTGCTTTTCACCTGCACTCAGAATGGAAGGCTATAATTTACAGAGCAGGCCAGTCCTCCCCATCCCAAGTTTCAAAAATTCTTACAGGTTTCTACTTTTCCCATCCCTCACCCTTGATTTTGACCCCCATTAGAAGCCCAATTTATCGGTGACATTTTGCTTGTCCTCATTGTCAATGCTACACAGTAATTTAAGAGTCCTCCCAATTTCAGTTCCACTGAGTAGGGTGAAACTCCAATTCCAAGAGAACCCCAGAGCACAATTGTCTGAAGGACTAAGGACTATAGAAATTCCAAGAGGGGGCACCTACAACTACTTCCAGCCCATACAGAGTCACCTCATCTTCTGAGCCCTAGTTTGCAAGCCTTTCCAGGCACCATTCAAAATACACTTGCACCTGCTAGAATCCCCTACGCTCTGCGGGGCGGGGGACGGGGGACTCTAGCTAGCCTAAAGGGTTCAGTTAATGGCAGCCTAGGAACCCAACGCTCCCCTCACCCACCCAGTGACCCTCGGGGACTTCCTGGTTTGCCCCCTTGTCAGAGGTGAAGATCCAGCAGAGAGGCTGGTGGCAGCAGGGCCATGTTCCCACCCGCTCTGGCCAGCTACCCACCTGTGGAAGAAGAGCAGGATGGAGAGCATGGTCTGGTCGATGTTGCGGTTGCAGATGCCCTCGTTGATCAGGTAGCAGGGGTCCCGCAGCACGGGCTCCAGGGAATCCTGCCGCATTATGTTGTTGAGCTTGTCAGTGTTGAGGTTCTCGAAGATCAGCTTCTCCTGCAGCTGCTTAAAGTTGCTCACGGTGGGGCTGCTCGGGTTGTCCCCGCCGCTGCCTCTCTGGAGATTGCTCCGGTTGGCCAGATCCAGACAGCAGTTGCAGCAGTCGAGACCGACAGGTGAGCGGCAGTCGGTCTTGCTCTTGGACTGGGCCATCTCCTCAGGCTTGGAGGCTGCCTGATCAGCGGAGTCAGGGGTGGCTGGCAGGTGCGCACCCGCCGAGCTGGCCTTTTGGGACTCCAGGGTGCCTGGAAATGACAAGCTGAGAGAAGAGTTGGAAATTAGCGCCGAAAGTGGGGGGAAAAAAAGCCGGACGCCTTCAGTTCGGGGCCCCCTTCTGGCTGTAGCGCTCGGGGTGCGAATAGAAACAGCTGGACAAACAGCTCCCAGCGGATCCCTCGGGCTCACTTCCTCCTCCTCCTCCCCGTGGTCTGGAAGGCAGGGCCGCTCCCCCCTCTCTCTCCCCCCCCACCCCACTCCACCCCACCCACAGCCCGCGCCGCCACCTCTCCCCTCCTTCCCCGGAGGTTCCACGCGCGGCCCCCAGCGCGGTCCTAAGTTTCCCAAGTGTGAGCATGGCTGCGGGCGGACCTGCAGGCGGCAGGAAGGGCGGGCAGAAAGGGCGAGAGCCGTGTGGCGCGCCCTCCCCGCCTCTCTCCTGGGGCTGGCGGGGCTGCGCTGACTGAGCGAGCGGTGGCAGGAGCCCAGAGCGAGTGAGCGAGAGGAGCCCAGGAGTCCACACCGGGCTGTGACAGCATGCAAATGAGCCCCGGGGGGGCGGGCTGGCGGGCGGAGGACGCGCCACCGCCACCGCCGCCGCCGCCGCCTCCGCCGCCGCTGCTCCCGGGCTGGGGCTCAGAGCCGCCCCCTCCCCCGCGCGCCCGCGCGGTCCCCCCCAGCGCCCGCGCGGTCGCTCACACCTTGGCCCGCGCTCCTGTGGAAGCCCGGCCGTTCGCTTCAACGTCCAGACCTCCAGGAGCGCGCGCGCGCCGCTCTCCCCGGCCGGGGGGTGGGGGGGTGGGGGTGAGCGGGCGAGCGAGGCGCCCTGGCCGCACAGGTCTCCGGCTCGGTGGGAGGGCAAAGGGTGCCTGTCCCGCCGCTGCTGAGGGAGACAGAGAGCCCTGTGACAGCCCCGGGCCCGACGCGCTCCGGGCCCTGACCTGACCGGGCCTTTGAACCGCCCAGCAAGCGCAGCCCGGCTTTTGGGAGAACTTAAGAGCCCCCGGGGCCTCGACGAGCCAGCGAGTCGAGAAAGTGCCAGAAAACACCAGGAGTCCCTAAGAAATGCCCGACTCGAAACTCCCAGAAACACGCCCCAGACTCCATGAGCCCGTTTCTCCTCACTTGTCACCCCGGCTTGCGCTCCGTCCCGACGCCCCATTCGACGCCATCTCCCTCGGCTTCCGTGGTCCCGGCGGTTGCGGGCTTGACTGCCACCCCCCGGCTCCGTCGCCTCCCAACTCGCCCGTTTCTGCTCCCGCTCTTTCCGCTATGTCTGTCACATTTAACGTCTCGTCTTTCCCCAAGTTTCCTGACTGGTTCCTTCTACTTTCTGTCTGTTTCCGCCTTTCCCCTCTCGCGTTTTTCTTGTCGCCCGTCTTGTCTTACTTCTGGCCGCCCCCTCTTCTTTTTCTCTTGGACCCCCTCCCCTCTTATCCCCTTCATTTTACCCCCCCCCTCCGTCTCACGTCGGCACTCCCTCTTTCTCCTCACTCATCTTTTCTGGGGTATTTTTTCCTTCAAAACTTGTCCTCCCGCTCTTCAGACGCCCCTTACCTGCTGCTTCAGGTGCTCTGTCTCCTTCGCTCCTTCCAGAGACTTCTGCTCAGCCACCCGCCGGCAGAGCCAGAAAAGGAGTGATGAGTCCGGTAATGGCGGCGGAGGGATCTGGGAGAATAAACCTCCAGCGGAGGTATAGCAAAAGGGCACATATAGGGGTCAGTCTGGTGCCCCGGGGCTGTCCACATGAGCTCCAGGGGAGCGCTAGGTGATCAAGTAGGGCGCCTTTTCGGCTGTCTGCGAACTTAGAATATGTTGAACGGGAAAGACTGAGCAAGTATCGATTCTTGGAAAATATAAATAAGCATCCGCAATATTCACTTTTTCCATAAAACTCAAATTTCTCTTAGGTCCTACTCATTTACAACACTCCCCCCCCCCCCGCCCCCTTCGTTCGCTTCATTCATGAACCCAGGGCATTTGAAATAGAGCAGTATATACTGCCATCTTCTGCCCAAAACCTGAACTATTTTCTGTCAGTGCCTAAGATTCAGCACTACAGGTGCCTCCTGGTGGAAGAATCCATTGGGACTTCAAGTCAAGAGCCGCTGTATTTCAACAAAAGTGAAGTTCCAGTTGCCTGAACCCTGGTATATTTGGCTTAAATACATTTGAGATTTCCTAGCCTAACGCGGTGGAGCACACCTTAGATACAAGCCACTCGCAAAGCAGAAGCATGAGGCTTGCTACTTGCGGGCCTGCCTGAACTAAATAGTGAGACTGTCAAAAAAATAAAAATAAAAATAAAAAAAATATTAAATACCAACCAGAAAAAACCCAGAAAACAAAAAGCAAAAAATAAAAAAATGAACAAACAGAAAACCAAACTAATAAAAACACACACACACACACACACACACACACACACACAACTAAATAACAGCAGCAACAACAAAACCCAAATCAATCCCACATAAAACCAACCCACAAGCCAGACCTGTAATTAATTAGGAGCGTGCTGCAGCCAGCTAATCCCCATTTCCCAGTCCTTTTGGCTATTACATAGGACCCAAAATGTAAATAATGGGGAAGGCAGTACTATGTGCTCTAGTGACTAGAAAGATCGTATTATATTTCTGCAGGGTGAAGGAGGCCATGGTGGCTGTAACATAAAGTAGTATGCCTGAGTGTATCATCCCTGCATTCTCACAGACTAAGAAATGTCTATAATTTTCCCTTAAAAGCCCATCACATCATTTTCCTGCATTTCCTTCTTCTTTCTTCTCCTTTTTTAAATTTTCTTGGATAAAGGCCAGAGGAGGTAGAATATAAAATTTCATTGGCATTGTGTAGACTCATAGCCTACTGAATTGTTTTTTTTTAATTACAGTGTTTATTATTTTCCTTCTTGTTTATAATGATTTTATGTTAAATGTTATAATAAAATATATTAGTTCCATAAATGTTTATTTGCGTTTTGGGAACAGCTAGGCCTTTTGCTTCTATGTTTGCCTGAACCCTCTTATCTTTGTGTATAACCTTGGGATGAGGCCCTAGTGGAAGGATTTCCTTCTTGGCATTTGGCACTGTTAAACTCAAGATTTTTGTCCCCTTGACATTTCCCTGTTGTAGTCCTTGTTCTCAAGAATTATTGTTAATAATTCAGCACAGCTTTGCCCATCATATCAAGGCTGATCAAGAGCAAATATAATTGAGATACCAAAAAAATCTCGATAGTGCAGAGATAGAGTTCAGAGAGTCGGCATTTGTGTGCACATAAGTCCAGCTTGTGTTGACAGACTGCATACCTCTGTGAGGGAAGGCTGACTGGACGGGGCCCCCTTGGCTGTCCTCCGTGAAGCCTTGCTTTACTGACATACAGTTGGGTGCAGAGATTTCAAACAAACTTTGTTGAATAAACTCAGAAAGCTGGAGTCTGAGGTACTAGATACAAAGTTGGTGGTTTTGGATGGGGAAAAAAGAGAGTAGAAGAAACACTTCTTGGATGGAGTCATTCAACAGCCATTTACTGTGCACTTGTCCTGTGCCAGCTACAGCATTAATGAAAATCCAAAGGTAAATAAGATCACTCCAAAGCTCCCCAAATGAATTCCTGGTCTAGCTGGAAAACCAGATGTACAGACAAACAAAATACTACAAGTCAAGCTGAGTCTGGTGGCACTGGCTTGAAACCCCAGTCTTTTGGGATGCAAAGGCAGGAGGGTCACAAGTTCAAGGCCAGCTTGGACAACTTAGTGAACCTCTCTCTCTCTCTCTCTCTCTCTCTCTCTCTCTCTCTCTCTCTCTCTCTCTCATGTGCACAAGCATGTGTGTTAAGGGTTGAGGCTGTAGCTCCGTGGTGAAATATTTGTGTGACATGCATAAGACATTAGATTCAATCCAGCACACACACACACACACACACACACACACAAACCCAAAAACACTACAAGTGGTGATTTTTGGACAGGCAGCAACATATCCTGAGAAGGTGGGGGAAGGGCTTACCTTGGGGTTGAAGGGCAATCCACACATGTTCCTTGGTTGAATTATAGTAAAATACATTCTAGTGAATCCACCATGAACTGAAAACATCATAAATTTTAAAAATGGAATTGCTACACTTAGTCCACTGAGCACCATAGCTTAGCAAACACAGTACTCCATATGACCCTCCTTGTGACTTACTAGGAGCTGTCCATCATTCAAATCTTAAATTTGAAGGAGCATTTCTACTGAATACACATTGATTTTTGCACCATCCTAAAACACAGAATTTGTAAGTAGAATCATTGAAAATCAGGTACTAGCGGGAGAAAGGTCTGTGGGTGAGAATAGTGGGTATGTTTGGATCCTGTGTGAATTGCAAAAGAGTTCTGTGTTTTTAGAGAATAAAATGGAAAAGATGGAAGTTGAGAGTTGGAAAGGGACTCAGAGCTCATGTCTTAGGGGATCCAATGTAAAGCATTAAAGAAAATTTTGCACTGAGCCTAGTGTGGTGACTTACACCTATAATCCCAATGCTCAAAGTTATTTTGAGCTACATAAAATACCGTGGTTCAAAATCAGTCAACCATAAATCTTTCCATGTCACAGATTGCCTTGCTTTAGATAATTATTAAGAAAAGAGATAAATATCATTTACTGAGTCCTTACTATGTGATACAAACACACATATCACACACACATACATATACACACACACATGCACACACACACACACTTGTCACAATAATCCTGTGAAATAGGTATGATTTCAGTGATGATGTGACCTTGGATAAGTTAAAGAAGCTATTCGGTTATACAAGGAATATATGATGGAGTCAGGGGTTGAACTTAAAATTTCCTAGCTTCAGAGCTCGTGTTCTTACCCATTAAGTGACTTTTTAAATGAAGGCTTATCAAATATTTACAAAGTGTAACATCTGTTTTAAGAAGTCTGTGCATTCACAGAAGCATATGTGCATCCAATGATTTGCTGACCAATGTATTGAAAGATTTTTATTTACACTGTGGAGTACCATGAAGGAAATTGATGACCCTGGTATAATATTGTAATAGCTGAATTTCTGAAGGGCCATCATGATCCAGGCTTTACATTAAGTGCTTTGTATGCCATCATACGAATTAATCATGCTACCATTATTTTCATTTAATATATCAGGAAACTGAGCTACAGAGGAAAAATATAGCACACTTGGATTATAAGTAACTTTCCTTTAAACAAGTATAGTCTAGTTAGGCTCAAATCAATAAACTCAAGGGAGCTGTAGGAAAGTTCATTTCATATCATCAATACTCAATTTTGTTAGCTTCTCCTCACAGTGGGAATCAGATTCATTAAAACCCACACACTTTTGTATCACAGATTTGTAAAAGCTGGTAATGGTGTAAAATCTAGATCAGGGTGTTCATAACCTTTTTTTTCCTGTTTTGTACCACACATCCTTATGACAGTAAAAGGATGCTTATGAACTTCTTCTCAAAATAGTGTTCTTAGATAACACAAAATTAAATAGTTACAAAGGAAATCAATTGTACTGAAGTCAAGATTTCAAAATACACAAGATAGAAAATTATGTAAGTGCTTGTTAGTACAGTAAAAGCAAGATTCTAGATGCAGCTTTGATAACTGTGATAACTTCAGTATAATGGCTGTGAATACATTTCAAGATACCCAAAATAACAGTAATGTGATATAGAACTGTTAACTATTTCTTGGGCAGGAGAAATGCCTCAGTCAGTAATTTGTCTGCTGCCTGAGGACCTGAGTTCAGATCTCCAGCACCCATATAAAAATAAAATAGATTTTGTGGGTGGACTGAGGACAGGTGGGGTTGGGAACAGAAGGGATCAAGTGGGGGTGGGGGGAGTAAATACTGGGAGAAACAACTGGAATGGGGGGGGGGAGGGCGTTTCAGTGGCGAGATGGAAACCTAGTGCAGAGGAAACTCCACAGAATCTAATCCTAGCAAGGGGGTGGGGTGGGATACAGAGCCTGAATAGGCCACCTTCTGTAATCAGGCAAGGCCTCAAGTGGAGGGATTGGGACATCAACCCAGCCACAAAACATTCAACCTACAGTTTGTCCTGTCTGCAGAGTGTTCATCAAAGAGATCAGAGAGACTTCACCAGCAAGTGATGGAAGCAAATTCAGAGTCCCACAGCCAAACATTAGTCAGAGCTAGGGGAGTCCTGTGGAGTAGGGGAAGGAAAAATTAGAGGAACCAGAGGGGTTAGGGACACCATAAGAACATGGCCCTCCTGGGGACTCAGAGAGATCAGGGAGCCTGTAGGGGGTCATATATGTTATGGGTGAATAGCTTTATGTTCTTGTAGGATTCCTAACAGTGGGGGTTAGTGGCTGACAATTTTTTGTTTTTGTATTTGAGACAGGGTTTCTCTGTATAGCTTTGGAGTCTGTCCTGGAACTCTCTCTGTAGAGCAGGCTGGCCTTGAACTCACAGAAACCCATCTGTCTGCCTCCCAAGTGCTGAGATTAAAGGCATGTGCCACCACTGCCTGGTCAGTATGTACTTGATTTTTCAAAATTTATTTTTCTTATTTTACATATCAATCCCAGTTCCCTCTACCCCTCCCTCCTTCCCACCCTCTCATGCCCCCCACCCCCATACCCCCCACTCCACAGGGAGGGTGATACCTTCCAGGAGGGTCAAC